CTACTTTTGATTAATTAATCATAGTTTAAAATAATAGAGGAGGGGGGGGGGGGGGGGGGGCATTAACGAGATATATAGCTGAGGCCCATTGCTCAGAATTTAAATTTAGATACATTCCAAATTTTCAGAAATTGAATTTAAGTTATCCGATTAAAAAAAATAGCCAGATTTAAAACTAATTTAATTGATTATAAAAAATCAAATGAATATCACAATAAAATCATGATAGTTTAGATTTAGTGCAGCAGGGCCCTAACTTCCGCTAAATACAAAATCAGAGATTTTATTTCTTGTACGCCCCGTTTAGTGGTCAACAAAATATTTTCTTAATTCAATAGCAGTCGCTGTGACGCCGTGACAGTTGTTCGGTCCCTCATTACACACTGCATGGCGTTGCCCGTCTCCATTGGCCCAATCAGGTGCAGAAAAGTAGGACTTAAATACTCCATCTACATCCTTGATCTAAATTCAATGCTCATTACCGTTATATATGTCAGATATGTCGAATGTCAACAAACTCACATGTTATGGACGTGTAATATTGATATTGTACATTAAACAGCATGTGATAATTCCCTTAATTATCATAAATACTTGAGAATATACTGTGATAACGGTACAGTCGAGATATAATATAATCTTCATTGCACACCGGCCAAGAATAATAACGAAACGAAATTGTATTATTAGACAGGGATAACTATGTAATGTATAATAATTCACGCTACTGTCAGAGAAAAGGGTTGGGCAGTGACACATTTCCATGGTTTTTTCAAGGTAGCTTAACAGACAAACTTTTACGAACGGTCACCGATATTCAGCAGTAAAAATTTTTTTGGAATGTAAAGCTTCACAGGCTTTGATTTGTGCTAGATGGAAAATGTAAATGCCTCAATCAAATGGACAAGCTACTTTTAGTTACCTATTAGACTGTTAGATTAGGATTATTAACAATGCAAAGTCCCTCAAATATTGCTTTTTATTTTAGGGTGTAAAAAGACCACACAAGAGGTTGGACAATGTTACTCGGGAGCCTGCCCCGTGGGATATAAAAAGGCACATCATGCACGTGGATTTATAGGGTGTCTAGTAGAGTCGGGTCAGATGCATCATTGCTGCGTACCAGGTAATGCTCGCTTTGTCCTAAATTACACGTCTATTCCTATTTGTAGGGTGCAGATATACCTCGCAACAAAAGGGCCAATGTTATCAGGGTTCCTCTTGTCCCTCGGGATACCGTGAAAATAACTTTATCTCAAAAAGACTGGGCTGTTTTTCTGTTGGTGGAGCTTATTCATGTTGTGTGCCAAAAGCAGGTAAGTTTGCACGTGCATCGTTGGCATGGTCCAGTTTTCAGGATATATTGGGTTTAGTACAAGAAGGTTTTATGGTAAATGTTTACTTTATGATAATACACTTGTTGCTTTTTCTTAGTGAATATTTCGAATATAGAGTAACTCTAGATATACCCAGGCATGATTTCGCACGCACAATTGCAATTTGGTAGAGTTTCGATATAAATGCACGCGCATTTGCGATTTGGTAGAGTTTCCATATAAATGGACTCGCATTTGCGATTTTTAAAGAGTTTCTATATAAATGCACGTGCATTTGCGATTTGGTAAAGTTTCAATATAAATGCACGTGCATTTGCGATTTGGTAGAGTTTCAATATAAATGCACGTGCATTTTCGATTTGGGTAGAGTTTCGATATAAATGCGCATACATATGCGATTCGATAGAGTTTCAATTTAAATGCACGCGCAATTGCGATTTGATATATAAATAATGAATGCACGTGGTAGTGGTTTATTTTAAAGGTTTTGGGATTTGAATATGAAGATGTACAATTCTATGTGCATGTGCATCAGGTTCTCAAAAAGTTTTATTTATATTCACTTTTCATTTACTTCGTTGTTTTTTAGGTCATGTTAATAACAAACAAATCGTCTGTGAATCTTTTGATTTAACTAAAAATAAGCGCTTATGACGTCACTATCAATACACTGAGGTCTCTTCCCTCGGCCATCGGACTAATTGGTATCAAGGGGGCCCAACCTCTGAGTGTGCCCCTTGCTCGTTTGGTTCATTGTGCATAGCTTGTTTATTATTTTTACAGTAAATGCCACTGTATCCCCACCATTGAATCCAGTCAGCCAAGATTGTGGACTGATGTCTAAAAGCGGTCGAGTCCTAGGTAGCGGAGCTAGTCCTATCGGTAAATGTACCTGGCCATGGATGGTCTCAATCCGATCCAGATCCGATGCGGCCACGTCGGCTCAGCCTGTTTCTTTAAGCAACACCTTACAGCTGGCTTCAGGCGTCTTGATTGATTCACAGTGGGTTATCACCACGGCCTATGGTCTTTCTTTGTAAGTATAAATTTTAAAATGAATGAATGAATGAATGAATGAATGAAAGTGCTCAAGTCAATGAATACTGTGGACTAAAATTTAGAAATGTGTGTCCCTGTGCTATTCAGAACGCCGAAATCCTTTATCAGGTTTTCGTAAATATTGAATTTTCCGCAAACAGTCCCTTTAACGATAAAGATGTACTTTATTTCCAGGGCCGGACAAGGAGTGGATAATAATGTCTTAAACAATATTTTCTTGGTAGCCAGTGAGCACAATGTCAATACGATAGAAGGTGATGAACTTTTCCTCACAGCCAGTAAATACTTCATACATCCCCAGTCCCCACTATCTGGGGGCATCAGAGCTCTGGACTTCCAAGGCGACAAGTCTCTCTTACAAGGTATTTTAAATGTTTTTTGTTAATAAAGATTGTTTTGGCGTGGATAGACAGTGATGCTGTCTGCCCGTTAGACCAACAAATCTGGCGCAATCCAATTTCTCAAAAAGATTTTACTCAAGATTTGAGTCGGCGACAATTAACGGCGACCACGACTGTTCGTGTTCTCTCGAAACGATCTTAGCGCAAGGATGTGCTAGGTGCTTATCTTCTACGATAACGCTTAAATCGTTCCGAGAATACAGGGCCTAGTATGACATCAACACGGCTTGGTATCGCTCTGTGTGTAAAACGTCGATCTTCCCGTTTGACCCCCAAAAAACCGTTAATCGAAATATTGTCAAATTTGAACTCATCCAAGATTTCATCAGTCTAAATTTCAAAAACAATTTTGTTGCCAACAGAGGTGACGGCAATGCACGTCCACGTTTTACTTAGACATAATCAAAGCATTGCTCACCCTTTAATAAAGCCTACCATTTCCCACTGGTAGAAAGTAACAGTTTGATAAAACACAGTGCTCCCCCTTTGACAATACCATCACTCACCATTCATTTTACAGGAGGAAATTTCGCTTTGATAAAGTTATCTACCCCTGTAACCTATTCACAATGTGTGAAGAAAGCCTGTCTGAATAAAGATTTAAATGTTGATGGTAACTGTGGAGGCAGTCAATGCTATATAGCTGGCTGGGGTGTCACTACCGATGAACGTAAGTGTAGTCATCTTGACGCAAAACTTCATTCATTTCATCCGCCATCTTGACTTTTCGAATTGCAGAAAGTGGGACGTAAAACTCAATTCATTCCATTTCCATTTGTCATTTATCGACAGATGCAAATACTGCTTCTTACACACTCCAAGGTAGTACTTAGTAGGACTTCAATTCATTTCATTCTTATTACAATTCAAATTCGCATTTATATCTGGCACAAAAAAGTGTCACTAACGTCGTCCACGACACTGACGTCAAATCACCAACAGTCGCCTACTGGAATGAAAATATCAAACGATATATGTATTTGTATCTTTCAGCTTTCCCAAGTGTACCCTATGGAGCTGCAGTCGATGTGTTCAACAACGTAACTTGTCAAACCATTGCTAAGTATAGTGGTAAAACTGATTATGTTCAACAACCATACACAATGTGTGCTTCTGGCTTGGCCTCCGATACCAGACCATGTGTTGTAAGTAAAATTGTAGTACATTTTGGGGGGAAGGGGGGAAGAAGGAAAGGGGGTTGTAACCGAAAGTAAAATTTGCTCTTCACAACTCAAAAGAGAGAATACAAATGTATGATTTCCTTATATTATGAAACTAATGTATTTTATAACTATCTGAAGAAATAATTCATTGTATTCCACTTCTTTACATTATCAATGTTATCATGTATGTTTTCTTATCAAAGGAAAGTAATTGTGTATGTATTTTTTTTTCAATCAAAGGGAGATAATGGAGGTATGGTAGTATGTAACCAGAAGGGTAGATGGGCTGTTCGAGGGTTAATCACCGAGACCACATTTGAATGCCAGACAGATGAGCCATTCATCATCAGTGACCTCGGGGCTGTCGAAGATTGGATAACCCAAACCATGGCCAATAACTAACTAGTTATGAAGAATTAATTAAAATAAATGATAAATTCAAATTTATTGATATATTAACAATGTTTTCTCTTTCTTGTTTTTCCAGTCCGATTCTTCAGGTGCCATCAGACTATAGCTTTTACCAGTTGCGTATGGTTACGAATAGTGGAACTCCCAACTCAGTTGATTAAGAGTTGCCTTTATATCGTTATGGCTGATATTCTTGTTCGCAAACATACACAACTGGTGATCGCTATGCTTTCGTATTCTGTGGTCTCCAATGGCGAGTTTACTTTATTTAATTTACACTTCATTGAGCTCTCATCCAATTAATATACTGTTTTATTTAATAATAACGATTTCAACTTAACTTTCAATTATATTAAGTTAAACCTGAACCTCTCTCCGAGATGTTGACACTAATTTGAGCACGAGTTTAAATGTATAAAAGTCTTCATGCCTTGTCTTGTTTCTTATCATCCTATCTCTTCCTATCTTACCACAATACGAACTGTTAGTCTTGCCAAAACAAAATGTCTCCTATTTTTGTTATGAAGAACAATTTCTAAGTAAAAGAAGCAATAACATATTTTTGTAATTTTGTAAATAAAAATGTGTTTTGGCACCTGCTTTGTTTTCTGGGTTTACAGAAACTATACAGACAATGAATCATTTGGATTGTTGGAGACTCGTGGACTCGAGATTGGAGCGATTATTTTTATCATGCTCTCCTACATTCTAAGACCTGTCTGTAAGTCAATTTAATGCCAGTAAAATGTCTATCGGAGCCGTCTGAGGCTGTAGGTGGATTAAAGACACTGTTATTATGCCATTACGTAATTATTAGGGCTCTCGCGAGCAGTCATAGCTGACATAGGTTCTCATTTTCTGAATACTACAGAGGACATAAAATAGCCATAATGACCATTTATATACTTATTTTGGTATATTTTATTAATTCTGTATTCAAACTAAACTTACATTGTGTTGATAAGTACTAAAACTACTAAAACTACCTAGAGATATACTTGATGCTCTTGTTGATATTTTTAATTGGAGCCGAATGCGGATCAATAACTTTGCTCTACTTTACTTGACTACCTTGCACCTTGTTATTCTTGATTTGTTATCTTCTCAGTATTAGATTCGATATCAAGTTTTTCCCGCTGACGTTTTTGAAGCATTTTAACTAGGGGAAATTCTGATAATTCCATTAACTCACATTCTTCTCTATCAATTGTAAATTCTTCATTCCACGTGCTTTGAGGAATAGTCAACACTTCCGGTCCGTAACTATGGGTACAAAAATCCATAACTAATCTGAGAATGATTTTAAAATTGTGAACCTCGTTTGAAAATTCTAGACCGGAAGCTAGAATCTCCTTTTCTAACTTCCTCCTAAAATGTTCATAAATTCTGACGTCTGCTTTTTGAATGTTTGCAATTGTTTGTCTGTGTTTTGGACCTAGGGCAAATGCACGTGCGTCCCAAAAATGCACATTCCTTATGATATACACAATATCTTTTGTTTCCCAACACAATTTACGTTTCAGCAGAACTAAAGATTCATCAAATTGTTCCATCACCATGACGAAATCAAATTCTCTGTCCACGTGACTTAGCGTCTGCGCAATTTTGTCGTCCTTGTAACGTTGCAAATGAGATAATCCAAAGTCAAGCGACATTGATAAAATGGCGGACACCTCTTCGGTGGAATTGTTTGTAAGATGAGCGTAGACATATGGATCATCACCGTATCGTTTGACTAATTCTTCTCCACGATGTTCATAGAAATCTTTAGAAATAAACCGATCAACAGGTTCACGTACAATTGCTAAGAGAAAGGCGTTGTTAGGGATTAACTTCCGGTATGCCTTTGAATCAAAGATTGTGTCCACAGACAGGATGTTGTAAACCTCACCAGGTGGCAGTCCGATAATATCTGTGCTTTTTAGATTGTCTACTCTTCCTAATACCCAAAATTGTTTCCCATCGGCTTTGTTCGGTAGCACAAAATTCAGATTGTTTCGCAAACCAAATCTTTGTAAAATGTTTGACACTGTGGTACTCCCGCACTTATGAACTTTTAAAAAGGCAATGTCTTTGCGTTTCGTTCTACAGTCTGGTTTTCTGACAACTTGAGAATCATGTACAACCAATCTCCGCGGCCTCGCCACATCATCTGGGCTGTCCAGTACCAACAGAGTATGGTTAGGTCTATCATTGAGACTTAAGGGTAGAAACAATCCTACGCAAACCCTGCAATAGAAAAAGGGAATGATCGATAAGGACCTGGTGAGCTTCTCAAGTAGTCAAGTACTGCCCATAATTATGAGTTTCAGACACAGAATAATCTGAAGAACGGTAGGATTTGAAATGACGATTAACATAAAAAGAATCTTCATACTACTCAAGAAGATATAAGACACATTAGCATTATGTGCGGTTCGTTTCCCAACCAATTTGTATAAATAGTTTAAACAAAACAAAAATAAGAGAATACACTCACCCAAGTATAAACATGGGACATTGCCAAATCAATTTCCGATTCATGGCTTTTAACACAGGATATTACGTCACTACCAGACCTGCTCAGATAAAGATGTCTTAAATCTCAAGATGTCTTTAAATACAGAATAATATAAAAACTATTCTATCTTTAGAACTGTCCAGTCTGTTAGAGGCTATATTGTCGAGTCAGGACCTTGAATAACGGAACACAAATTTTATTGTATGCTACTTCCGAATTTAAATTGTACACAACGTTTCAACAATTTACATTGTCATTATCAGTTTTAATGATAATAATTATACTACTCCTGAGTATAACTGTACACTGCGTTTCAACAATTTACACCATCGTCATCATCAGGCGAAATCTGGGAATACTTTAAACTATATACTTATCCTACCCGAGGATTACTCTGCAATTCAAGCAATTATCGTCTATCTTCCCTAACGAGCTATTCCGAATCACTACGAAGGTAATAACTCACAATACTTTCTAATAATATAGCATTCGATGTGTTCTTTGCATATTAAAATAAAAAGTCTAGCACGTAACGTTAGTAACTGATTAGCACAGAATAGTTGAAATAAATATCAATATACAAACTGTTTGTCAATGTTGATGTGTATGTATTGTTGGGTTTTTATGTAATTCCTACCAGTATGATTTAACAATAATACCGTCTGTTACATTCTGTAATTCAACATTGAACGGATGATCGCCATATTGAATTTACACTTATTTGGTGGTAGAGGCTTACTCTTGAAGCATTTGTCCTACCAATGGGATCATCATTTACCTTGCTGATTAGAAGTTTTATGTCGTTACAGTCGAACCCAGAGAATATGGTTTGAAATTTAGAGGGATTGAGATGAGGTTTTCTAAATTTTGTGTATTAGGAACGCTCATAGCATCGTTTGGTACCATTCCAATTTTTGGTCAGAGATGTATGGTTCCTGCAAATCCAATAAAAGTAAACGTTTTAGAACGTAGGTATTACAAAGGCCCTTAGATATTATTAGCGATTTTGCGATTGTGGCGTCATATACAGGGGCTAGACAACCGCTTTACAATCCTTTTCAACCCACTTCATTAGGCTATGAGGGCAGATTACAGAATAGGGTAAACCGCAGTCGAATTTAAAACTTATTTTTATTTCAATAATGGGGTGGACTGCAGTAACACTGGACTCTTAGATCAATGGGTTTCCTATGTTCTCTACCTTAAGCCAAACAGATCTTGGTACGTTCCATGTCCTATAGGCTCCTCAATTATGTTATCCCTTGGACCTCCCACATACTGAAGTCTGTTTCCAGTAAAAGAACGAGTTTCAGAATTAGGCAGAATCATCAAAGAAAATATGGTACATAAAATCTATTTAAAAACTAGTTTATTATGTAAATATAGAAACAGGTGTTTCAGTTCCTTATTGAATGTTATTGATTTGATTGTAGTTCTCCGTCGTGCTGGTCATCTTGCCTCTGATCGTTGTAAGATTAATCTACAATATGAGAACTACGGTGTGACTTAGTGCTTCTTAACATTTTGAAACGTCATGTTAGTAAGGTGTTGTTTCAAACTTATATTTAGAGAACACGGGCCACTGTTTTACACAAAAAACGCAATGGAGATGTGGTAACCTGGTGCTTGGTGTTAACATCTGGAACTAGCTTGGCTTATTTCAGTCGTTTATAGTCACGTCCAGACTGCCTCTTTATCTTTGTCTAAATACCTGCTATGATGCTAAATGCACATCCACGAAATACGAAGTTAGCTAGTTATGTGCTCAAATTTGAATAGTTTTCGATGATTTGTTTGTGAAAACATTGGCCTAGTGGCGAAATATGTCTTTTGGGTGTCTTCGTGACCTGATCATTGCACCCAGAGAAGTCAAGAGCGATTTTGCGAGGCAAGAGCAGTGAGTATTGGAAAATAACATTACTATGATGTCATCGTTGCTTCAGTGGTACTCTTGCTCTAGTACTATAATATTTTGTTTCTGTTAAAACTCTGCTACAAGAGAAATATGTAAATCATCATTTTTCTATGGACATTGATTATACAGAAATAGGTCAAGGGATATAGGTCACTAGATCAATAGAATGTATAGGGGTGAAATGTCTTGCTTGTACGGATTTTTATTATACAAATAAAACGCTTACATTGATTTCAGAGTATCAATTATTCTTTTATTTCCTTAAATTGACCAATTAAACCTACCCCGCCGAAAACATAAGGTTGAAGAGCCACCCATTTAGTATTTAATTGTCCGATACCATTTTCAAAAAAGAACTCCTGAGGCTATTGCATTTCGGTCGCTGTGTGTAGTCCGAGATGAAGTGCTGTGAATTCCCGATTCGGTCCATTTTTATAGAAATACATCTGGATGGACGGAGTACAAACGCAAAACCCTAAATGGCTGCGATACCAGGTGAATATCAAGCACGGTGGTCGCAGCAAAACGGATACAAAAACTACCCAACTCGATGGGACAACATCATAAGGGTTTTGCGTTTGTACTCCGTCCATCCAGTTGTATTTCAAACAAAGTGGTTCGAATTCGGATCACTGGCGCTACTTCACTTATGTACGATTTCAATTTTTGATCCACTAAAATACGACAGGATGATGTTCTAGACTCTATTCTGAGTATTCTCACCATACTTCAATAGTTAACTGAAAGATGTCCACGAGTAAACTTGTTGTTGATTATCTCCCATTAGCTCCATCGAATGGTTTTCTGTCAAGGCATTTCTAAATGGATGTTGTATCGGGAAAGTGACTGGAGTAGGTAAGATGTTTGGAAACTTCTGTCGTTGTCCAAATTGAAATTCAGTATCGTGTCTGACATTTGCGAAATAAATACTTCTGCTGGCTGTAATATGGCTCACTCCAGGTTGCTGTTGATTTACATTTCGTAATCTTGGTTACGAAATCCGTTCTCAGAAATAGGCACAAAATCTGCAGAAAATCCACTTTTCTGTTGTTGATGTTGCGTAATCCATTGTGGAACAAATTGTGATTGGATATTCTCATTCCAATCTGGAACCCTTTGATCGGTCTGTCTATTCTAATTCGTTTGGGAGACATGCGTTGTCCAACAAGGAAGCATTGAAATGGAACAATTTAAATAACACTTGCTTTATAATTAAGCTAAGAGGCGATTTAGAAGAGGAGTGAGGCTGCAAGAATGGGCGGGCTCAGGGGATGTCAAACTTATTTGAATTATTTGGATTGCTAAAGGGCCAGCCAATTCAAGGTTGAAAAAATAAAATACTTGGATTTTTAGACAGTTTATTGATAGTTCCACATCTGAAAAGAAAAATTAAAAAGCAAGGATAATAGAATGTTGCGTTTAAAGTGAAGGAAAATACAGACAAAACTACTCATTCAAATTAATTGAAATAGAAATTACATGAGTCTAATGTATCACTTGGTAAAGACAGCTGTCCTTGGTAAAGATAAGCACTTTCGACCCTATGAAACCTGCTAAAATCCAAAATCCATTTATCACAAGTAACAGCGCGAGTGATTGTTTTATCTGGATTCATTTTAACGGCAGACTCCAGACTTAGAATCTATAGACGTTAAAATGAATTGACGCTGAACCTTTCTGTACCACTTACAATATGATTAAAACAATTGAGAAAGGGAAAAGACAATCCTGTTATGCAACTATTGAAGACGACGAATAGAAAACAGTCGATTACTTACATGTTTATTGGTAATTTGTGTATCCACCGTTTGTGTTGAATCGGTTAGCGAATTGACTGAAGCCATTGGTAAACTGGTTTGCAAATCGGTTAACCCCATTGGTGAATCTATCCAGTGACAATGGATTGGTGGCCACATTCTGGGCGAATTGGTTGATACCAGTAGCGACGTTCTGGGCGAAGTTTGGTCGTTGGGTGAAGGAGCTGACAAATTTGTTGATGCCGTTATTGAGCTGAGTGTTTTGTCCAAATCGATCGTTGATGTTCCCCACGAATCGGTTGATTCCTTGAGTAACTTGAGAAGCTGTGATCGGTTTCTGGGCAACATTTTGGGCAAATTGGTTCACACCATTAACAATCGGTTGAGCAAACTGGTTAACGTTTGAAACAAATCTATTGGTCGCGTCTGGAATCTGGTTGGCGAAAGCTTGAATCTGATTGGAGAATCGGTTAACAGTTGCTGGAATTCGGTTGACGAAATTGTTCACAAAATCTGGATTTCTGTTGATAAACTGGTTTACACCATTCTGAATTTGGTTGGAGAACTGGGGGTTTTGATTGGTGAACTGGTTGGCAGCATTCTGTATATTTGGTGGAATCTGGAATCCCTGGAAACCATCAAAAGCTGATGCCACTGCGACGAAGAGAGCTAAACCACAGAAAACCTTCATGACTTGGGCTGTTGTCAGTATACAATATAAAACAATGTATTTTCTGGGTTTTTAAAATGTTTTATGATTTTTAATTACCTTATGTTATTATTTGTATTTCACCAATGACGTCATTACTATTCAAATATTGAAAGTAGTAGTAATTAAGGGGAAAAAATCAACTTAAAATCTTTGTATAATTTACAAATATAAAGCCACGTAGAAGAATATACATAATATCAGAGAAGATAGTTTGCTTTGATTTGCAATGCACCATGTTCCATAGCAATGACCTGAACCACCGGATAAGAGACTCTATTATTCTGCCCATCCTGTTCAGTTCCATCAGAGCCGAGTAACATACGAGACAATGCATATTGTCCTTCTTCACCGCCGATATCTGGTTCATTTTTTTCAGCCCGTGAACTCTGTCTTGTGGTTTGAAGTCCTGGAATTGACCGTTAAGTATTTGCAAATTTCTCTTTTCGACAGAAATGAATATTTTACGTATAAACTTTCAAGTATTCCTCTCCATATACTACATACTACAATTCGGACGTTATTTGGTTACAACGGTAGAGTCTTTGATCATAAATGTGTTATTCACAGCAGGGAAACCATTCCGTTAAACCCACGACCCTGTAGTCGATGTGGAAAGACCCTGTTGTGATGGAGGTGCTTGTTTTGACAACTGTAAGACGACTTCTCTCTCTGCGAACCTTCATCATAGCTCATTCTGTTAATATCGTACTTATGTTACATGCAAAAGTGGCATAAATGTCGAATGACATTGTCTCTGGAACTGTGAAATATGGCACAGAATACTACTGACCCGAGATTCAACCTCAAATTAATATGAATTAAAAACAAATAGAATTTTAAGACAAGATTTTTATTTCTATATGTCGAATAAAAATATTGTTCATTTCTGATTTTCAAAATCAAAAACATTGGTCAGAAAATGTTGCCTTGGTTAATAGTAAAAATACGGGTATGGATTGCCGTAAGGATTAGGTTGGGGGTAACCGTAAGGATTATACGGGTACGGTTGCGGTTGTGGTTGTGGTTTCCCAAAAACAGTATTCGCAAATCCTGCGGCACCAGTTAATGAAGTCTGCGGACCAGATGTTTGGGTGTTAGTTGTTGGTGGTTTGAAAGCATTATTGGTAAAACCAGAGGAACCAGTAACGGTGTTGGACGTGTTTGTTGTCGGAGAAGAAACTGTCGGTGTACTCTGGAATGCATTGTTGGTAAACCCGTTGGAACCTGTGACACCACTTGTCGTATTGGTTGTCGTAGTTGTATTCGTTGTCGGAGTTGATGGCGTATTGCTGGTCGTATTGTTATTTTGGAATACGTTGTTGTTGAACCCGCCGGAACCAGTTACATTACTTGTAGTGTTGGTAGTCGGCGTAGATGTTGTATTGGTGGCCGTAGTTGTATTCGTTGTCGGAGTGGACGTCGTATTGCTGCTCGTATTGTTATTTTGGAAGGCGTTGTTGTTGAACCCACTTGAACCAGTACATTACTTGTAGTGTTGGTAGTCGGCGTAGAGGTTGTATTGGTGGCCGTAGTTGTATTCGTTGTCGGAGTTAATGTCGTATTGCTGGTCGTATTGTTATTTTGGAAGGCGTTGTTGTTGAAACCACCAGAACCAGTTACGTTGCTGGTGGTATTCGTAGTCGGAGTAGAGGTTGTATTGGTGATCGTAGTTGTATTCGTTGTCGGAGTAGAAGTCGCATTACTTGTCGTATTGTTGTTTTGGAATGCATTGTTGTTGAAACCAACAGAACCAG